AAATGCAAAGTAAAAACATAGGAACCAAAGTATTTACAGGACATAAATTATGTTTACATTTTCCTAGAAGTAAAAGTCGGCCAGCTGGCTTAATCGATGCATTTAATGAGGCCATAAAGTCCTTGTGGTAGTCCTTTATACAGGCATCTCTAACAAGTCCCATAAAAGTCAGATTTTTTTTTTTTTTTTGATTCAGGAATACATTTGGGAATATTGTAGAAGAAATGGAATGACATGGAAAATACATATAAAATGTGAAATTAAAATCATTTTTATAAAACAGTAACATATACAGCTGGGTGTCATGGCACATGCCTGTAATTCCAGCTGCTCAGGAGAGTAAAGCAGGAGGATCATAAGTACAAGACCAGCCTGGGCAACATGTCAAGACCCTGTCTCAAAAAGAAAACAACCAAATGATATAGAGAAGATCCTAATTTTCTTTAAGTCATAGGATAATACAATGCATAGAAAAAAAGAAAAAACACACCAGAGACACACACTCCAAATTATAGTAGTAATTATCTTTAAATGGAGGAATTACAGTTAAATTTAAATTTCTTTGTAAAGCTAGGGATATGTCTCKGTAGTGGGGCACTTGCCCAGCATGTTCAAGATCCTTGGTTAAATTCTCATCAATGCCAAAAAATATTATTTGTGCTTTTCTACATTTCTAAATTTTCTGTAGGAACATTTACAAACTCAAATCATTTTGAGACAGGACTTCCCAAAGTTTCTGAGGCTGGCTTTGTGATCCTCCTGTGTCAGCCTTCCAAGTAGCTGAGATGCCTGTACTACCATAGCTRGCAAGTTTGATTTAAAATCTGAGAAACTAAGTATAACTGAAAGCTCAATCCCTGCCCCCAATGCCAAACAATGCCAATAATAAGGACACAGTTTTGAGAAAAGGGAAGAAGAAAGTTTATTGCTTTGCTAGCAAAGGAGAAACATAGGGGACTCCTGTCCCCAAAGCTGTGACTCACCCKATCAGGAGGGGCAGGGGAGTGATGTTAAAGGAACTCTTCAAGGGTTACATTCCAGGTGTGCTCTGGTAGCAGGTCCCTGGGTGCCCTGATGGTGTTTTGGGATTCACTTGTTAATTTGGGAGATATTCATTTCCCAAATCCCCTGCAGGCATCTCCTTCCTTCAGTGGGTGTGTTCAAAGTCAATTAACTAGGAGAAGAAAACATAATACTGTCTCCCTAATCTTGTTAGGAATCCGGAGGTAGGGGGGAGGGGGAGGAGGAGAAAAAAGAGAGAAAAAAATTTTTCTAAAAAAAAAATAAGCCTTAGAGCAATAAGGGCTATATTCAGAAGGTGAAGGGACCACTGTTAAGTAAGGATAGCATATTGTTAATGTTTTGTCTAATCTGTAAATGCTAAATTTTATTTGTACCACCTATATTAAAACGTCTCACTGCTGAAATTCTCTATATCTGAAGAGATTTATRTATCTATTCATTCAAATCTTCATGGAGTTTCTATTATGTTCCAGACACTATTGTAAATAGTTGGGATATAGTAATCAACAAGACAGAGTTCATACTGTTATGAAGCTTATTTTCTGATCAGATTATTAATCATGAAAATTCTATAATGGGTGGTATAATGTATCATTTAGTAACCATAAATGATTTAGTTTACCAGCTCTCAGGATTAAAAAATTAGAATAAGCATCATAAGATTAGTGTAGTATAGATTCATGGTGGGTTTTTTGTTTGTTTGTTTTTGTTTTCTTTTTTGGTACTGGGTATTGAACCCTGGGGGTGCTCTATCTCTGAGCTATATCCCCAGCCCTTTTTTATTTTTGGTTTTGAGATAGGGTCTCTCTGAGTCACTGGGATTATAGGCTCCCCAGCCCTTTTATTTTTAATTTTTTTTATTTCTTAGTTGTAGTTGGACACAATATCTTCATTTATTTATTTTTATGTGGTGCTGAGGATTGAACCCAGGGTCTTGCACATCCTAGGCAAGTGCTCTACCACWGAGCCACAATCCCAGCCCCCTCCCCAGCCTTTTTAATTTTTTATTTTGATACAGGATCTGGCTGGGTTGTTGAGTGACCTCTTAAATTATTGAGGTTGGCCTCAAACTTGTGATCCTCCTGCCTCAGTCTCCTGAGTCACTGGGATGACAGGGATATACTACCATGCTCAGCTATAGTAGTTGGGTTTTTAGAAAACATGTCAATTGGGAATAATATGTTTTTTTTTTTTTTTTTTCAGTTTTAAAAAAGCCCCCTGTTTTGGTTTCTCAGCATGAAAGTCATCAAGCAATCTCCCATATTCCAACTGGACAACCTCTTTCCCCAAATATGGCTCCAGGTATGAAGTCTTATTCTTTTGGCATTTCATTTAAAAACCATCTTATTGGTCATGTATTGTTATATAGTGAATAAAACATGTCATTTAGCAGTATAGTGAAGTAGCATTCAAAGACAGGGTCTTGCTGTGTTGCCTATGTTGCTCAGACTGGCCTTAAACTCTCAATTCCTTTTCCTCAGCCTCCTGAATAGTTGGGACTACAGGCATGTGTCACCATGCCTGACCTTCAAGCTATATAAATTAACCTTCCTTCAGAATGTGTTCATAGAACTGGTGGTGTTGCTCTGTGGTAAAAACTGTATTCATAGTTATCTTATTGAGGCCTTCTACAAATTATTACTGTGTAGAAGACCTTACTTGTTGCTTATGAATATGTGTGTGTGTGTTTTGTGGTGCTGAGGATTGAAAAAAACAGGGCCTTGTGCATGTGAGGCAAGCACTCTACCAACTGAGCTATATCCCCATCCCATGTTTGTTTTCTGTTGAATACCTATTTGATTTTATAGAGGGTTCTAAAATGAGAATTATTGAAAGGAGGTGCTTTGGGGAAGATCATGGAAAGGAAAGATATAGAAATCAGTGGCACAAGAAGTTTATGATTCCAAAATTAATAGTAATAAGGATCTAATCAAGATTTTGATGAGGGGAAAAATGAGAGGTGGGAGAAAGAGAGGTTATATCAAGAAGATACTGCTAAGAAAGAATCTAGAGTTAATTGTGAGTCATTGTGTAGATGAAGGCAATGAAGAAACTAGAAATTTCAAAAGCCTTATTGGATTTTAGAGAATTTTGACAGCAATATGGAGTTTGGAGAGGGAAAAGAAATGGATATCATTGCTATATTGATGTCTGGATTTTTACTGTGTATATATCTCTTTGGTGAATAGGTTTATAATTGGTAATGGACATACTCATTTGTGAATGATTGGCAAACTTTGCATAGCTGAAACCACACTGGTAATTAAAGTAAAGCTTAAAAAACAAACAACAACAACAACAACAAAAAGACTAAATGACTATCCAATGTCAGATAATAATGTTTCTTAACTTTTCTAAAAGAGAGGTCTCATGAAATTCTTCTGTAGAAGAATTAACGTTCTTTTWATTTGATGTTTTTATACCATAGGTTCATATGTAAACCACAATGGAAATCCTGGCACTTCAAAACAGAACCCCTCCAACCCTCTTCAGCGTTTAATTCCAGGCTCAAATTTGGAGAGTGAACACAGAATTCAAACAGATATATTAAAGCAGGCCACTAAGGATAGAGTCAGTGATTTCCACAAATTGAAGCAAAGTAAGAATCAATTGATGAATACTATGTTAAAAAGATTTCTTTGAATATAATGTTTATAGGACTGAATCAAGGTCTTCATTATTACATTCTTTAATGATTGCGTAGAGAAGTTATGTGTATATAAAGTATAATAGTGTTAAAATTTAAAAGAAAAGCAGGATATTTTTTGTTTTTTATTTGTTGAAAAGCAGGTTTTAAATGGGTAGAAACAAAGAAATATTTAAAAGCTGATCATATTATTTACTGTTAAATTATAAATTTCAGGTGAGTTATTTTTTTAAATACTATTCTTAAGAATTTAAGCTTATTTAGAGAAATGAGAAAAGATATACTTTGTTAGGTTAATGAATGGAAACTTTAAGAGGGAAGGAAAGTAAAATAATTTTGAGAAATGGAGGATTCTGGGGGAAACATACACTTTGGATCTCTCCAATACCCACTATTGCCATAGTGGGTAGTCAATACTACTTCCTCCTCTCCTTTCAATTACAGTTTGCTTCATTTAGGTGTTAGGAGAGACATGAAACAGATTGAACAAATTCCTAGCACTCTTGTAGTGAACTATGGCTGCTTAATTATTTCAGAGATATTGATTTTGATAAATCGACAGTTTCTGTTAATCTGTATAACTCTCTGGTTGGTGGGTTCTCAGGAAATATAAGAAAAACCTCTGGTAGCTGAGTAAATTTGGAGCTAGAGGGTATAGCTTTAGGTCAGCTCCCTTAAACTGTGCTTTTCATTCTTACTTTTCCTGTCTTCTTTCTACCTTCAATTCTGAATAGTCAGAATATCTAAAAGCTCTAGTTTGTCTTTTTGATGGTTTCTATGATAACTTTTCAGAGTAGTATGTAGTCAGTTATTTGTATATAGGTTGCTTATAGGTTGAAAACTGGACAGTGTTACTATTTTTGAATTTATTCAAAATTTATTTGTTGGTCTTTTAACAAGTATTCATGTTTTTACACATATATAAATATATAGTTTTCATACATTGACTTCCTTTTTTTTTTTTTTAATACCGGGGATTGAACTCAGAGGCACTCCATCACTGAGCCATATTCCCCAGCCTATTTATTATTTTTGTATTTTGAGAGMGGGTCTCACTAAGTTGCCCATGCTGATCCTCCAGCTTGTGATTCTCCTGCCTCAACCTTCCAAATTGCTGGGATTGAGGTATGCATCACCATACCTGGCAAAGCCTATTGACTTTTAAACTCTTAACTACAAATTATTTTCCATGAAACATAAATCAATRCATATACTATTTTTTAAAATTTATTTTTTAGTTGTTGAGGGACCTTTATTTTATTCATTTATTTATATGTGGTGCTGAGAATCCCAGTGCCTCACACATGCAAGGCAGTTGCTCTACCACCGAGCCACAAATACATACTATTTTTTAATTACTTTAATTAAAATTATTTCTTGTGGGCTGGAGTTGTGGCTCAGTGGTAAAGTCCCTACCTAGCATGCATGAGGCACTGGGTTCAATTCTCAGCATGCATATAAATAAAAAATTAACTGATTAATTAAAGGCTTATCAACAACTAAAAAAAATTTTAAAATGAAATTATTTCTTGAATGTCTTTTATCAAATAGTTATATACTTGTCATTGTGTGTACACTGGGGATTGAACTCAGGGCCTCCAGCATGCTAGGTAAGTGCTGTACTACAGAACTACATTCCGGCCCTTTTTACTTTGAGAGTCTGGCCTTGAACTTGTGTTCCTCTTGCCTCAGCCTAGTAGATGTGATCACAGGCATGCAACACACACACACACACACACACACACACACACACACATACACAAATACATTTACATTTATTAAGTTGCACTTAAGCAATAAGAATCGTTAATTTAGTTCTACTCTGATTCTTTTTGTAATACTGGGGATTAAACCCAGGGGCATTCTACCACTGAGCTAAATCCCCAGCCCTTTTTGTTTTTTAATTTTGAGACAGGGTCTTGCTAAATTTCTGAGGMTGGCCTTCAATTTGTAATCCTTCTGCCTCAGCCTTCTAAGTAGCTGGAGTTACAAATGTGCAGTAGGCTCTACTTTACTTTCTTACTGATTATTTAGATTTCTTTGTATTTTCTCATTTTAGTTGATTGTGACTATCTTTTTTTCTTTTAATTATTTCCTGTTTCACCTATTTTGAGTATACCTTTAAAAGTATAGTACTAAGAATGAACTTACTGGATCAAAGCATTTAATTAGCTTCTTAGTTCCTGTTATATATTGCAGATTGTTATTTTTTTTAATATATTATTTATTTATATGCAGTGCTGAGAATTGAACCCAGTGCCTCACGCATGCTAGGCAAATGAGTCACAACACCAGCCTCTGTCAGATTATTTTTTTAGAACATTTTATAGTGTCACTGGAGATACTTATCTGTTTTCCTGTGGCCTGGCCTGACCACATTGATATTTTTAATCTCTTTTATAAGTTATTTAGAATTTAATGAAGCCTGGTATAGTGGCATACATCTATGATCCTAGGTACCTGTGAGGCTGACAGTGGCTCTCTAGAGCCTAGTAGCTCAAGGAAAATCTGGGCAACATGGTRAGACATTGTTGGGAAAAATACAGAATATAATGATTTTCTTTTTTTTAAGTATATATATTTTTTCTTTTAGTTGTACACRGACACAATACCTTTATTTTATTTAATTGTTTTTATGTGGTATTGAGGATCAAACCCAGTGCCTCATACATGCTAGGCAAGCACTCTATCACTGAGCTACAGCTCTGGCCCCATGATTTTCTTAATGATATTTTAGTAGGCATATCCTTTCTGGTGTAGCCTGCTTTTTTGATTATTTCATTTTTATTTTATTTTGGGAGGGGGATTTTTGTTTGTTTTGAGATAGTGTCATGCTTTTTTGCCCAGACTGGCTTTGAACTCTTGGATTTAAGTGATTCTTCCACCTCAGCCTCCTGAATAGTAGCTAGGGTTATAGATGTATGCCTTCAGGCCTAGCTGGCATGTTTTTGTTTTGCTTTGTTTCTGTTGCTGGGGTTTGCCAGACCTCACATGTGCTATAGCCCTAGTTGGCTTGTATTTTTATGTGAGGAGTTTTCTTGGGATTATTTCCTGGTATATAATGTGTATATCAGATTTGACCACTTAGCTTG